AAAAGAAAGAATTCAGAATCAAATTTCATTTGTCTCCTGACAAAAAAGTGAGGAGTACACTGGCAACCTGTTACTGCAGTAATGGGGATTTCTGTTTCCCATCTCTAATGGGTGAGTGTTTAATAGTCAAGAGCTGGGACAGAAAGTCTTCACATTGCTAGAATTGAGAAAAAAAAAGTGTGCCTGGAGATTCCATGAGTAATTGTAGAATAGTCTCTTTTTCCAGACTTGGGTTTTAGTAGCAGATTGGTTTTCATGTTTGTCCTAAAATCATTTTAATATACAAGTGTTGGGTGGGGGGTGGGGAGGGGAACGTTACATTTTGTCAAATTTGTCATGCAGTCATCAGGACATTTTGCAAGAATACCAGTCTGAGGGTAGGGGTGGAATTTATGCTGTCAGAGGGCTGTGCTGATTGGTTAGCAAATGGACTGAGGTACTACACTTGATTTTGATTGGGAGCTAGCTGCTACACAGTGTTAAATTTTACACAACTTAAATACAAATTTAAAAATATCTGCATGCCAAACTGCAGAATTTGCAGTTTGTCCTAGAATAACTTCAAGAGCACAAACCAGCAGCCTGTTGGGTATATATTGGTACACCTCACATTATCTTCCTCCTGTTTAGGAAAGGACATATGAATCAGGACCAGTAGGCCATTCAGCCCCCATTTTCCCCTGCTTGGACTCCCGACAGTCAACAATCTATCCAATTCTGCCATAATACTCAGGGACCTTGAGTTCACAGCTTTGCAGCTAAGAGAATTTCTTAGACCAAGTCACTGTGGAAGAAAGTTCTCATCCATTTAAAATTTTAAGAATTTTATTGCTAGTTCTAGTCTCCCCCAGAGGAGAGGGAGTTTGAAAAGTGATGGATGACAAAAAGGAGAAGAAACCCTTCATTACTGCTCATGGATAAGGGGTGTGTTTGTTAAAAAAGGGAGGGCTCCTCTTTTCCTGCCAAGAAAATGGCTACTTTGTTACCTTAGTTATGTGATGGACACAGTGATTCCAAAAAAGGTTTGGTTCTGCCTTTGAAAGAAATTCTCCCAAACTTTATTCTTCCTTCATTGGTTTTGGGAATTCAACTTGCCAGCATTGAATCAGTGGCCTGAAAGCAAATTTTTTCTATACTTCATTACTTGGTGGGAAGTGGGATCAGGAAAGGGGAATAAAACTGCACAACTATCCACAGGTGTTAAAAAGTCAATGGTTGACTGAAGTACAAAGAACACTTTATTCCAGAGAATGAAGTGTACTTACTGAATTGACACTTTTGGATAGTATCACCACTGCTATCTCAAATTCTCAGAAGCTGAATAACGTTCATGCATGTCAGCTTGTAATTCCAAGCTTCCCCTTGAACATTTCACAGCTATGAATGTATTGATAACCCAAACTGCTTCTCAAAAATGAAGCATGTACCACATTTCCATTGAGGGGGTTAAACATGCATTCAAACAGTTAGACCTCCTGTACGTGCAATGTAAAATGCTCCTTCAGCACACATGCCCAATCCAGAGCCAAACTGATGGGACAAGCGTGGCAAAAAAAGTTGGTGGAAAGTGCAGTGACCTACTCTGAACTACCACTTAATATGCTCGGCAAGAAGTCAGCCTCACATGAAAAGGCACATCTCTTTGCTAAAGTCATGATGTTCCAGGCTGGACAAGCAGCAAGAATCATTCTAGTTCTTGTAAGCTGAAGGCAAACGAGCACATCCACATCAGAAGAAACTGCACAACAGGCAAACAAACTTATTCCTTAGACTGGAAGATGGGTTTTCATAAAGGTAGATATCTGCTGACTACAAGGAGAGAAAAAAAGTGATGATTAAACCAGCAAAGGAGAAAAAAAAACAGAATGAGACAGTCCAGATTGTTCACTTCTCTGCAGTATTGAAGTAATGTTAATTATATCCATGATCAGCCACATCTCTCCCTGCACCAGTGAGTAATACATGCATCCACATGTGCAGACTTACTTTCATACCCCACACCCATGCTCAAAATTGGCACTTACCTGGAAGCAGTCAAAACAAAAATCACATTCATTCATGTTCCCCAAAGTCCAAGGAAATAAAATCCTATTTATCATCAAGGTGAACAGTTGCCTCTGGATTTCTCCACGTCTGCTGGCAACAATTCTAAACCCCTCTGATAACTGAGTCAATCCACAGTTTGACAAGTTCCCAGACCCAAAAAAAGGAGGTGCTGGGAAGGAGGCAAGAGTTGTCGTGACTACTAGTCATCTTTCCTAGGCATTGTTTCAAGACATTTTACATAAAAAGGTAGATCCAGTAACAAAAAAGTACTGTCATGAGCTGCAACAACATTTGTCACTTGGCATTGATACCTCCACTAATAATGGAAATTTCCCTGTAAACTTATGCTCTAAAGACACCTTCCAGCCAAGGTGCTGCTCTAGTGCCTAGAGGTTCAAGGCCAGAAGGCAGCAACTAACCCAAATGTTTCCCAACTCACCATGTTTGAATATTCAAAATTAAAGGATAGAAGGTATGATTTCAAAAAGCTGAGTTATGGTTGTTGGTTCTCATCTCACTTGTTTGATTCTTTGGAGCAGTCTCTTCACTGATTGTTGATTTGTATTTAAAAACAAGACTTCACACTTATGTAACATTGGTTGCCAATGCCAAATTTGGAATTTTCACCAAGAAAATTGGCTGGTGAAGTGATTGGTAAATATAGAAATGGTTCTATATTTTTGAGAATGAGAACAGAAGAGTGGGAACATTCCTCAAAGAAGGATTTGATGACTGCTTAGTCTTCCTCATTGGAAACTCAAATTCAGGTTAATCAGGCTTTGAATCTTTGACCATTTAATTTGGAAAATTAGTGTCTGAATTGCAGGATGGATAGAACTAAAAAGCTGAACCACAGCTGGCAATGTAAAGATGAATTAAAATCAAAACGCAACAAATGGTTTTCTAACTGAATTATATTTGATGGACATCTGTAGTGTCATTAATGACCAGAAAACATGTTCAGCTCAGCTACTTCTAAATTGTCCCAAATGCTTGAAATGCATAGTCATCCTAAAAAATTATCTACACATCTTTGTGGTTTAAGAAACGGAGAAGGAAGAGGCAGGTTGAGAACTTATCCTAGGAAGGCAGTTTACAACTAAAGCCTTTGTTAGAAGGGCCTCATGCTGGTCTCCAGAGAAGGAAGGAGTCTTTCCTTGTTTCCCCAACCCCATCCCAGCCTGTCCAGTTCATCAAGACAGAATAATAGCAATTGCAGTCAAACTATTTGGTCTTTTGACAGCTATCCAAGTTTTGACTGGATTCAAGATGAAAGGAATAAAAGGGCAACAAGTCTTCACCTGTTCCACACAGTACCAATACAAACTGAGGCAACACACTAAGTAAACACTGGTACCTGAACAGAGTTGGTTCCCGTACACGTTGTGGGCAGAGTGCTGTTCCATGCATGAACTCATAACAGAGACCATTCTGAAATGTGCAATAGAGTTTTGGAGCACAACCATTGGCATGCAGGACCTGGAAGCTCTTCAGCTCATTGTCCCGATCCACAAACAGCTCAGTCTTGTTGCCATAAACTCTCACCAAAACGACATCTTCCATTTTGTTCCCCACATAGCAGCCAACCAGTTTGTTTGTAATTCCATCTGTAAATAACTGGGGAAGGGTTATGGAGAAGAGAAAGATTGTTACTCATGTAGCTAGCTACATATTCTGGGACAGCATTGTACTGGCAACTACTCAATGGTTGCCTGAAAACTGAAACAGAAACAATTCCCAGACTAGGGTCATAGCCAGACCATTTGCATGGTGCTCCTTTTGCCTGTCTACAGTAGTTACTGTAGATGTATTTGAGTAGCAAGAACTGAAGTCAACTTTAAAAAAGCTTTCCCCAACAGCTCACTTTCTAGATGAATGCTCACTCCCATCTGCGTTTGCCATTCTTTGAAGTGCAGTGCAAATGAAGAGGCACAAGTTCAAACCAAAACCATGGATACTAGCCTGCTGTACCTTGATCCCATAAATTAATAAGTGGACCATCAAGACAGTTCTGCTCAGATGGATTTTATGATTTGAGAAACACACAAAGCATCCTAAACTCAAATAGAACAATAACTGTCTTGTTAAAGTTTTACTAGCAATAGGATTTAAATTTGACACTTTTCTCCAATTCACATCCACTTCCTTTATACTTCTAGACCTTAACTATTCTGTTACAGATTCAGTGGCCAAGAGTTTAACACACTAGTATTCTTTTAGGAAAAAGTTAATCTCTGGTCAAACAGCTGATAAAGCACTTTCTACAAGCCAGCTGTGTATAATAGCTATTATTTTGCATTTGGTAATTTCCAAATCAGTGACAGAAAATAGGCAGAGAGAAAATAAGCATTCATCCATGAAAGCTGCAGATGGCTGTTCAAATAAAGGTGGTTGACTAACATCTTAAAAGCCTTATTCAAAGTTCTGAAGTCACATTGGACTCACTGTTCTTCTCTAGATGCCACTTGACCTGCTGAGTTATTCCTAGTACCCACAGTATTTTGTATCAGGCAAAAAAAAAGTGTTATTCTTAAATTTGGTCCAGTCCACAGACTGACTTGTTCCACTCTTGGCTTTTAATCCCAGCAGCAAGCTCAGTCAGCAGTTAAGTTTCCTTTAAAACCATTAAAGAAGCTACACTAATCACATTCACAGCAACAAGGTGGAGTGGCTGACCCTCCACAAGTTAGATTTCTCCAGGGCATGGCTGCTAAAAAGTGAAAGATAAAAAAGTTAAAGCTTACAGGTCTTTAGATATTTAATGGTGGTGGTTGGGGCGGGGGGGGGGGTGAAGGTGGGAGGAAAAGATTGGGCAGGTAGAACATTCCACTCCCAACTGTTTATGGAATGTGCACCTGTTGGCAACTAGCAAAGGAAGAATAAGTATGAACTTGCTGATATCAGCTACATCCATACAAATTACAAGATTTAATCTAGATGGGTCTTTTCAACCAAAGAAAAAAGAGAATCTTGATGTTTATGAATAAGTTAAGCCAATGAAACTCTTGTTTAGGGAGGATCACTTATGTTGCTACTTCTGTTAAATACCCATGAACAGAACATTTATCATCAGGTATAATTACATTGACTAAACACCACCCACCTGAACTAAATGCATTGGCCCAACACTGTCAAACAGAATCCTCACCAGCTGGAGGACTGGTTTAGGGTGTACAGAGTGATACCCACAGCATGGGTTCAATTCCTGCACTGGCTAATGTTATGTGAAGGCCCCACCTTCTCAACTTCAGAGGCATGGTGACCCCTGCCCCCCCCTCCCCAGTTAAACTGACCACTAATCCTCTCACCTGATGAGAGAACAGCCTTATGGCCCTCTGGGGTCATAGCAGTTTTACCTAAACTGCATTTAAAAAAGGAGCAGCACTGGAAGCAGACTGCTTGCTGTCAGAGAGATTTTACTGTTACTCTCCTGAGCGCAAAAATTTATAGGCAGCCATACAAATACTACGGACACAAGACCAGGTCAGAGACTGGGAACTGTATAATGAGCTTACTAGATCCTAAAGCCTGTCCACTACCTACACAGGCACAATTTAGGATTGTTGAAATACTTCCCATATGCCTGGGTGAATGCAGCTGCAACAAGCAGAAACTTAACACCATCTAGGTCAAAAGCAGGCTTAATCAGCATCACATCCACAAACATTCACTGCTGACACTGGCAGCCAGCCACAAGATGTACACCCATAACTCAAGGCTCTTTCAACAGCTCTTTTTAAAGAAGTTGTATGACCTCAACCACCTAGAAAGGAGGAGGGAAATAGCTATATGGGAACAACATCACCTACAGGCTGCTACCCCCCTCCACCAAGCCACACAGCCTGATTTGCAACCATATTACTGTTCCTTCATGGTCAGTCAAAATTCTAGACCTTCCCTTCCTAACAGGAAGGAGTGTAACTTCACTGCAACAGTACCAGAAAGCAGCTCACCATCTTCAAGAACAACCATGCAGAATAATAAGTTAATCTTACCAGTGATGTCCATATGATGAATGAAAATAACATAGGACCCATGTTTACTGTGACAATGAATTTTGCCTTCTATTGCAGCTACACTTCAACACAGTCAGTCAATTTAAAACAGGATATTTCTTGCAGGCATGTTGAGGGGTTTTTTCAGAAAGGGTTGTTGGGGGTCTAAATGTGCATCGAGGTGGAGACAATTTGGCATGACCATGGTTGACAGGTTTTCAGAGTCAGGGAGAAACAACTGTAGATGGGCTGATTACTTGCCAATTTTCAAGTGCCAGAGCACCTTTCACATACAATTATATAGTTATGCCAGCATATGACTGCAGCCCTTCAATATAGGTTCCAACTGAGCACCACATCTCAGATACATTGACCATGGAAGGGACAGTACAGATTTAACACTATACCAGGGAAGTGGTAGACAGGTTGCATTCCCTTGACTAGTTGAGAGTTGAAAAATGAAGTGTTTTATGATTGGAGGGGCAGAGGGAAAGTATTTCTCAATGGCAGATTTGGTCAGAGCTAGTGAGAATTATCTTGGGCTACTCAGGGGTGGTATCAGGAGGCTCTTCACATGCAAGGTGATGGAAATCTGCAGGAAGCTGTAGGCTTCTGTAAGCTGTCATTTCCAGTTTGAAAAAAATTGTTGCATCCAACAGCATTCCAAGATAGGAATTTATAATGGATTTATCAGTGTTGCTGCAGGTCACAACTGGCCAGGTGCATTTTTTAATTAAATTGTTAAAAGTGTCCTGGCTGTGTTTGATTTCTAATTTGCTTTTCTCCAATCCTGGATCATGCTCCGGCTCTACTTTGGTTGGGCAATAAATATTGGTCTAGCCAGCAATGCCCACATCTGTGAATAAATGTTTTTAAGAACAGCTATCTATTCCCAGACCATTCTCCCTTACACTGAAAGCTGTTATTTACCAAGTTTATCATCTCAAAAGAAGTTGGTCACTGGCATTACTGAAGTAGCTAAAATTTTTGCACGATTGACTTACTCAAAATGCCAGATGGACAATGCTAAATCTCAAAGCTTCAAATATTCATTCATGGGATGAGGGCATCAGCCAGACCAGCATTTATTGCCCATCCCCAATTGCCCAGGGGGCAGTTAAGAGTCAACCATATTGCTGAGAGACTGGAGTCACACACAGGCTGGGCCAGGTAAGGATTGCAGTTTCTTTCCCTAGAAGGACACTAGTGAACTGGATGGTTTTCTGACAATTGACAATGGATTCGTGGTCCTCATTAGACTCAATTCCAGATTTTTGTTGAATTCAAAAATCTCTGCTATGACAGGATTTGAACCTTGCCCCCTGAATCTCTGAATTAACAATCCAACAATACCACCACTGGGCCATCAACACCCCACCACAAATTAATGTCAACTTTGCCTTGATTAGGTATTCACAGCAGGAACTTTTATCCTTACTGGATTACCAGGTTCATTCAGTTGTCTGGATGGCCTAGATTGAGGGGCACATTAGGGCCAACATGTCCTGCACTGAGGTCACCACAAAGGTCCCTCCTTCCCAATCTCCTCAGCTGAGGTGTGGTGACACTCAGGTTAAACCATCACCAGTCATCTCTAATGATAATAGCCCTACAGTCCAGCAGGACGGTGGTGAATTTACTAGATTACCAAATGGCCGATTTCAGGGTTGTGTTGTGACAGCAGCAGACTCACTCAGTGGAGAATATCCTTTACTAATCATACCTGCAGGCCGCACTGCTGAGTGTGACTAGAATCTGTTGTGGAAAGTTTACATTTAGCTATCTTCCACCAACTGTATTTTGCAAGCAGCCTACTTTGCAGCAATCTCAGTATCAAGCTGTTTTCTGGGATTCAGTCTTAGGCTGTAGAATGTTTACATTAGTGAACCAACACTGCTGAATAAACACTGATTGTTGTGAATACTGCCATAAACCTTGCCCAGCCTCTAACATATTAGCAACCACTGCTATCAGAAGGCACTCAAAGTATCCCACTTACAGCTTGTGAAAACAAGGGCTGAATTAATAAAGGTCTACACTGATGTGGAAGGACATGGCACATTGTTGAGGCATTGCATTGGGAACTTTGCATCTCAGCAATCCCATTGATAACCACCTAGTTGTACCAGACCATAGGGCTGCTTGTACAGTGGGAGAACAGGGCACACGCACATCTATGGGGTGAATCTGTATTTGTGGACACATCCTATTTTGTTCAAAGCACACAAATTCATAGACAGTCTGTGGTGTTTTAGAAATTCCTATTTGAGAAGCAAGACCAGTTTGACTTCAAACCAAAGCACAAACCAATTCCAAACAACGCTCACACTTAACATGCACTGTCTGACCTGAAATGTCACTTTTTAAACTGACAACCTTCAGCTCTCAGGAGACAGCTTGAAAGGCATTCAGCAATTTATGTGTACATATGAATCAAACAAAGCCTTCTAACTGAAGAAAGATTTAAACAGCATATTGGGTTTGTTTAATACATTGATCTTTCACTTATAAAATTCTGTGTCTGATACTACCTCTAACACCTAAAGGACAGAAGCCCTGAAAGCCTGTGTTTTCAAATAAAACTGTTGGACTATGACCTGGTGATTTCTGACCTCGTCCACC